CCCTCCCTCCCTCCCTCCCTCCCTCCCTCCCAGCGCCACACACGGCAGCCCTACCGCCCGCCATCCCCCCCGCTCACCCTCCCTCCCTCCCTCCCTCTCCATCCCACCGTCTCCCTTTCTATCCCCCCTTGTCTGTCTGTCTGGCTGTCCATCACTCACTCACCTTCAAACTGCAGTCAAAGAAGTTTTCGCGCTTGCCGGATGCGCGTCCGAGGGCTACCTGACGAAAGAAGGGCTGCGGTACCTTGTCGGGCTTGTGTTCTCCCAGGACGACAAGAAGCAACTGATGGAGGAAGAAAACTTCTTCTGGATCCTGGGGCTCTTTCCAGTTAGCAACGTGTACCTTCACAAGAACAATGTCCCCTTCACAAGGCTCCCCCTTCTCATCGCAAGAGCCATGGCAGCTCCTCGTGTCCTCGACGAGTGTGCTGAGCTCATCCCCGAGGTTATCATGGAGAAGCTGGAGCAGCTCCACCTTCGAGCTGACTTCGGCCCTCGGGTGGGAGCATGGAAGCTGGTGGCTGGTGCGGGAGGGAGCAAGATTCTTGTCAGCGCGGAGAAGGCGGGCGGTACTCCTGCCGTCGCTGCGCTGTCCTCATCAGCAGGAGGGCAGATCACGTTGATGGAAGGGGAGATGGTGCCGGGAGGGACGGGAATCTCGATCACAGACCAGCGGGAGGATCTGATTCAGTTTTTGAACATGCTGCAGCCGGTCGTGATGCCGGAGAAGGGCAGGAGTTGGACGAGGCGTATCAGGGTCAGCTCATATCTCGACATGGTATTCATCTCTATCATAGTCGTCAACTTCCTCATCATGACGACCGAGCACTTCGACGGGACTGTCGTCATGGACTGCGACGACGACAACATCTGCCCACAACATCTTCTCATCATGAATGCGACTCAACGCAGGCTGATCGAGGTTTCCGACGTCTTGTTCACAATTGTCTTCTCCCTCGAAGTCCTCCTGCGCATCACCGCAGCCGGCTCTTTCCTCAGATACATCATCATCCCGCAGAACCGTCTTGATAGCGCCCTCGTCCTCGTCTCTCTGCTCCAGCTCACGATCCCTGGCAACTTCGTTCACCTCTTCGTCCTCCGCATCGTCCGCCTCGTCAGGATCTTCAAAGTCGTCGCAAAGTTTCGCCGCCTGCGCATGCTCTTCTGGAAGGTCGCTCTGTCTCTCTCCCCCATCCTCCACGTCATCGCCGTCCTCTGCTTCGCCATGGTGATGGTGGCGCTTCTTGGCATGCAGCTCTTCATGTGCCCCATCCGCCCATACTCCTGCGGGGAGGAGGAGCGAGACGCTTCAGGGCTGTGTCCGGTGTTCGATCAGAGCTGCTTCTACGACTCTCACTGCCCTCTCTACATGTTCTGCTCCTTCAAGCCGTACATCAACTTCAACACCTTCTGGTCCAGCTTCTTCACGACCTTCGTCGTCCTCACAGGAGACGATTGGACGGGCATCATGTACTCGGCTATGAGAATCTACTCGAATCCTGTCGGAGCTGCGATCTTCTTCGTGCTAGTGTACAGCTTTCTTGCCTACATCCTGCTCAACTGCTTCATCGCTGTCATTATAGAGAACTTCGAGATGACCGACGAAGAAAAGATTTCCAACCAGCTTGCAGCATACAGGATCAAAGTCTTGAACGACATGCACAAAAAGCAACAATCCTCAAGGAAGAAGAGACAGGCAAGTCAGGACAAGAACCTTGAGCAGGAGTTAGGCAAAGATATCCCCAATCACGTGCTGGACGTGTTGAACGAGGATTTCAAGGACGTGTACGAGTACGAGGAGGAAGATGTAGTCATCTTCGGCTTCCTAGCTCCTCCGACTCCCAACTCCTCCTGCCCTCAGGCGCCGAGGAATCTGAGAGGATGGGCAAGAGACATATACGACAATCAGTGGTTTGAGAACATCATCATCTGCTGCATCGCCGTCGGAACTGTCTGTCTTGCTCTCGACTCTCCGATCTCTGAGTTCAGTCTATTGGATCCTACTTTCTTCGCAAAGGCGGACATTGCGCTGTTTGTGATCTACATGATCGAGTTTGTGCTCAAGGTGAGCGATGGTTGTGATGAATCGTCACCAACGGCTGCACTGAGAGATGGAGGGCAAGGAGATGAATATCTTAGTCATCGCAAGAAACATGAATTTTTGGTTTTCCCTGCAGGTTCTTCACCATGGAATCTACTGGGAGCACAAAGATGCTTATTTCCAATCTGAGTGGAACGTCTTGGACTTTGTTGTCCTTCTCTGTCAACTGGCAGATGTCACCGGTGACGCGATAAATCATCAGACTTGAAGTTCCTTGTTTGCTGTCGTTTGACTGTTGCCTGCTGTCTGTTGTTTGCTGACTAATGTCTGTTGTTGGTTGAACATCTGAATAATTCTGGTCTCCACCAGGTTTGATCCACGGCATATCAGCCATGAAGGCTGCTCGCGTGCTGGTGGGTTCATAGAGCTGAATCTTGACAGAGGTGTGAGTTTCATGTCAGCGTCCTCTGCGTCTGCTTAGCAAGATCAGCTCGTTACAGAGGTTGTTAGCAGCAGTCGGTTCGTCAGGTACTGCGAGAGGCGATAAGGCTTGACGTGACTTGGACCTTGACAGCGACTGACTTCGCGTCTGTTGGCATCCTTGCATTGTTTATCTTGACATGTTTCAGCGTTCTTGGGTAAGAGGTTGTTAAACAACCATTCATTTCTTTCTCAAGATGAATATCTTTCATCTTCTGTCTTGTTTGTATCTAACATCTGTCTCTTCTTACATCGACACATTGTTCAATCTTGACACCTCTCAACAGTGTCAACCTTTTCGCGGGAAAGCTTGACTTGTGCAATGACGATTCTCCTGGAGTGAGAACAGTTTACATGTCCGTTCCGTGCGAAAGCAACCAAACATTCGACGCCCCTCCTGGGTAAGGAAGAAGATACAACACAAACAGCGTTCTATGAAGACACTTGCATGGAGCTGATGTTTGTTTTGTCTCTGATATGAATTCAAGAACATTATGATTCTATCTTTCACCAGCTGTCGATTGTTTTATGCTACGTCAACATGTCATGACTTTAACTACTCAAGCTTGTCGGTGTCAACCATCTACTGCGACGGGAAGGCAAGGAGAAGGTTTGCACCTCCGATCAACACGAGATGGGAATGCTCGGGCAGCTTTCTAAGGTGTCAAGTTTGACATCTTGCTGCCTTCAACTGACAAGTTGGCGGAAGCTACGACAACAGCCAAGGGTACTATGTGTATAAGGGAGATCAGACAGAGATTTTCAAAGTGAGGACGATACAACTTGACGCTCGTTCCTCTTATCTAGTGCCCTTGCGATGCAGCCAAGGGTCTGGCGATCGCCTGCCTGGTCTTTTGACAACTTTTTGACGGTTGGAGTTCTCTTGTGTTGTGTCCTGAGATGTCAGATGGTAAGAAGAGACGCAGGCTGCTCAAACTCTCTTTGAGATTTTATGTCTGGTAAGTCTCACGATCACGATGAAGAACTTCTTTCATGTCACATCCTCTCTTCCGAGTTTCATCGTCGTGCATGTTATGGTACAACTCATGCGGATCTGGTGCAGGAAAATTGGACAGAAATTGCTCAAAGTGTAGTTGAGTGTCAGGGAGTCGGTTTGCAGGTCTCTTCCTTTGCTTTCTATCGTCTTATCTACTTCTACTTCTACTTCTCCTCTTTCTCTCCTTTCCCCTCCTCTTCCTCCCTTCTCTTCCCATTGAAATCCCCTTCTCCAACACTGTTGTCGATTCGTCATTCCTTGACTCATCTCTTGTGACAGCCGACGTATCAATTCACAAGATGGAACTGGGTTTACATCGCTGCATTCATCGTTGCTGAAGCGTTTATGGTCCTGCCGCTTGTTGTAGGTGAGAAATCATCATCATCATCATCATCATCATCATCATCATCATCATCATCATCATCATCATCATCATCATCATCATCATCATCATCATCGCGTCGTCGTCGGACCATTGCCACTTTCTAATACAAATGACATCAGGTGTTGTTGTGGACAACATCAAGAGGAAGAGTGGAGCGGTTAGCAAGGCAACATTTGTTCGTTTACACCCACCAACCTCACTGCAGGTCATCTCAACGGATCTGCAGAACAACTGGACACTGTTCGAAAAGAAGATTGCAACTCTGAAACCAATAAGACATCATATCAACTTGAAATCTCAAGTGATGATCACGTCCCGCGCATCTGATCTACTCAATGACAACTTGACAGGTCCAAGCGTTCGCCTGGAATCTTTCCCGTTCTCCTTACTTCAGCCAACTCATCCTGTAAGCTTGTCACAGTCAGTGAAGAGACTTGTTATCAAACCGAAACCGGTTTCATTACCATCACTTGCACGACATTATTTCTATGTTCTCATCACTTGCACGACATTATTTCTATGTTCCCTTCCTTCATTTTCTGATTGCTGTTCGCAGGGCTACCATCGTCTTCAACATGATCACCATGGCAGCTGATCACTACAATCCCACTGAAGGCTGGAGCCAGGTTCCTTCCGCTCCCTCCTTCCCCTCTGCCCCAACCCATTCCCATATCCTCTTCCGTCTTTCCCTCTTCCTCCTCTTCCTCCTCCTCCTCCTCCTCCTCCTCCTACTACTACTACTGCAACTCTTACGCCAGTTCTTTACCTTTCTGCCTCACTCGCTACTTGGCCAGCACGTCAACATTGTCTGGAGACTTCTCCAGTGCCTTCTCATAATATTCCTTGGCTTTCACAACGTTGCTGTTGTATCGATGCTCGATGAAGCCGCACATTGCAAGAGCGTCGACATTCATGCTATCAATCTTCAGAGCTGTCTGGCAAAGGAGGAGCGAAGTCTTTAGCTCGACTCTGAACAGCCGAAAGATATCTGCAAGGATACAAAACGAAATCGCATCTCCCTCAAAGAAAACGAAGTTTCCTTCTAAAATTGTTGTGAGAACCGACAGGACATTCTGAATCCTGTCGTACCTGACAACTCGCTGAAATCGCTGGTTGCTGCATTTTGCGATTTCAGCTCGGCCTCATTCTTGCCGAGAAATGTTTGCAAGGATGAAACTACTCAAAGTCATGTAAGAAGTGAGCTCAAGTCATCGTGGCTCACCGTAGTCTTGACCGTCGAAATTGTGGAAACACACTTTAAAGCCGCTGCCATCTGAACGCCGCGTTCACACAGAGCCCTGATCGCTCATCATTACCTTCATTCTTTACAAGTTTTCCCACAATCCTCGTCTCGAA